GAGCCTTCTGTTCACAGAACTCCACTTATACTTAACGCAGTCAACTGATAAGCTAGTTGATTCACACTTCAGCATTGGGCAGAAGACAGAAACAAAAATCAGAAAAAGTTTCATTTCAGTACTTAGAGGAAGAGAAAAGGAAATAGAATTTTTTTTTATCACTTTGAGTATCATATTTTTGATGCCTTCTAAACCAATGCAAAGATTCATTTCATGTAGCAGAAACAAAGCCACTCACTAATTTTTAAGTGTTCATTGTATAAAAGCACATTACTTGATAGTTTGGGGAAATTTTTAAAAATAGCTTTTAGTGTCTGGAGCAGTGACTGCGAACATTTTAGAGTTTTCAGCGATGTAACAGCCACTGTGGCATGGGTGCCATGCCACCAGTGCTCTAGAAGTTTACAGTGTAGTAAGTTAGAGTGCCACCTAAAAGAACACATGTGCAACAGGAATCGATAGAACACAAGAGCAACTAAACGGCATATCGATGGTAATTGTTCATCCTGTGGTTTTCCTTCATGAGTTATCTGAATTAATTTTTTTTTAATCAGGTGTGGTTTCAACTCTTTCACCTAGTGCTGATCCCCTGCTGTAAATACAAATCATGTTTAAGATTTAAGTATTTTTAAGAGAATCAAAATGCGTTTTCTTTGTTACAGTCTCTTAATAGCTTTAAGGGACAAATGAACGAAATTGACATCTGTATTAACGAGAAATTTCTATGTCGATCACAGAAATAAGAAACCAGTCAATTACTCACAGTTTGAAGATTCGGATAGTGATGGTAAGTAGAGCTTCTGACTTTGCTTAAAGGATTGGAAGCTTGTTTTCTTAGTCTTTATGTCATGTCTAGCTTCAATATTTTGCATATTCCCAACTACATGTATGTGAGATAGGTCTGGAAAAATAAGAGTGTGGAGAAAAAGGAGGTTTAAGCTCTGCCATGTTGATTATGTGGTTATCTTTGCCCTTAAGAGAACGTTCATCCAGAAGTTTAAGAAGTATAACATCAGATTAGATTGTTACACTTTGAAATAGTTTTTCCTTTGTGTGTGTGTGTGTGTGTGTGTGTGTGTGTATGTGGTGCTGGCTGTGGAGTCTGGGGTCTTACATATGCCATATAAGTGCTTTAGCACTTACAGGTTAAGTGTAGGTTAAGTGTTTTAGTGACTCCTAGGTTCAAAATAATGCTTTTCTCTGGGCTCAGCTTTAAATATTTTGACAACTTGAGAGAAAGTAGTACAAAATAGACCTTTTAGCTTTCTATTACAGTTATCAGCCTGCCATAAGGTATTTATAAGTTGCCACTTGTGTTTTGGATCCTGGGTAGGAGTATACAAAGTTGTAAGTTATCACAGTCCTATGTGGGAAAGCACGAAAGAAACAACATATTGATAAATGCTGAAATGTGTTTAAGGTGCATGTGTCCAGAATGTATGCCCATGTGTGTCATATGTTTGTTTAAAAGTCACAGCAGTGCTGGGTTTGGTGGTACATACCTATAATCCTAGCACTAAGGAGGCTGAGGCAGGAGGATTGCTGTGAGTTTGAGGCCAGCTTGGGCTACCTAGTGAGACCCTGTTTCAAAGCTCTACACATACAAAGAAAGGCCACAACAGTGGCCTATGTCATGAGAACTACAACAGTTTTGAGAACTGGTAAGACAGAAAAACCCATGAGCAGTAGTGGACTGGCAAAGAAGATCCAGAAATGAGGAAGTTAATTTTGTAGGCTGGTAGGTAGGTCGCTGTAGGGGTGGAAAGACAAAATGCCACCATTTCAAAAATAGAACTCTTCAGAAGGAACCACTTTGTCTTTCCCTGTCATGCTTCTTATTTTGCTTAGCTTCATTAATGTATTAGGAATAGGTAATGTGCCTTTAAGAAAGATGCTTGTTTCATTGAAAATCATTTCCTTCCACTTCTCATTAAGAAAACTGGAGAATTTTTCCTAATGGCTTTATAGTTTTTCTTTTAAAAGAGTTGAAATGGATGAATGAGAATAGCACTAAAAATGATTTTTAAATTTAATATTGAACAATTTACTAACCTATAAAACATGAACATACTGTAGGGAATTTCAACTGCTAAGAAAGTTATTTTATTTTTATTTCAAACATGAATAGATGATTTTATTCCTGCAACTGTACCTTTAAACAAGAAATCTAGAACAACACCAAAAGAGTTAAAACAAGACAAACCAAAACCTGCTTTGAAGACTGTCCAGAAAGAAGATATCCTACTACAAGAGAAAACCCCTAAAAAAAGGTGAGAGGTAAGACAGGCAACATGAACATTAGCTGTGTTTGTTTATTT